GTGATATAAGTTCTTAATGTTTATTGTATAATTTTCGAAAGTAAATGATAAAGTCGAACATGTTGAATTTTATCATCTGCTTTCGAATATTAACCAATGACCACTTTATTTTTTTAAACTCTTTTCGCCTGTGGGCACTAAAAGGGCCTCGTTTTAGCAAGCCCATTATGGGTTCGAGCCAGTGGGGGTGTATGTCTGGTGAGGGACGGTCTACCTCCCGAAAAATTCCTGAGGATTTTTCGACCTATTCGGATTCGATCCCGACTCCCCCAGAGCGGTAGGCTATCACCTTAACCTCTCGGCCAACTGACTATCAAGCAATGACCACTGCTTGATAGTCTTAGAACTTAAATCAAGTAATCATTGTTTCAGCTGTTTATACGTTATACGATACGACAGTTCCCATTTTTTTAATATACAGTACCTTGCCAAATTATTAGACCCATACAAAAAATTGATAATTTTTTAGTTTTAAACGTAATAAATCAATAATAACGCAATTGTTTGTAGAAATATTTAAAAATTATAAATAATAAAACTTAAAAAATGAAAAATGAAAATTAGTATTTTGTATAACCACTCCTAACAGCCAGTAGTTTCTACATGACAAATAGTACTTTTTATACACTTTTTTATTTTTGTTCTCATTAATGTGCTATAGTGACATCCATTCCTTAATACCCCAATAAAAACCTCTATCAGTTCTCTTTTTTACAATTACCAATTTTACCTTACATTTACAATGTAATATAATAATAACTATTAGAATATAATAACTATTAGAAGTATTTGTGATATAATACAGAATAAGAATAAAATAAAAAATACTCGTTCCATAAACAATATTATTTAAAAAATGAGAAAATAGTACAGAAAGCATGATTTTAGTCAATGGGTCTAATAATTTGGCAAGGTCCTATAAACATCGTATTCTGTAAATAAAATAATGAATAGATAGTTAATTAAATTCTGATGAACAGTAGCAGAAAAGTTGACAAAATTTTACTTCTTTAACATTACTTATTTATTCTAATATAATATTAAAATGGATATTGTAAGCCATCCTAAACAAACAGATAGTATTGCTAAACTCCTAAAGTCAATGTTTTAGAACCGATAGTCTACCGGACTTAATTTTGCCATTTCTTAAAATCTTGATTTGATACGAAGCGTAGTCATTTTCATGCGACATCTATCGCGCTAAACTGTCGATCGCACTTCTATCTAGCGACAAACCTACGACATACACGCGATCATGTCGTAGAGAATGAACAAAAAACATTGAAGTTTTACGGCCGTAAACGCGTCTGTAAATCGGCTCAAAGTATTACTGTGTTCGGAGTGTACAATATGACAAGCATCAATCGAGAATTTGTTGTCCTGAAAACAACTAACAAAGCGTTTATTATTATTATTTTTTAAAAATCACTTTTTCAGGGGTTATCTTATTTCCGAACAGAATTAATAACTGAATTTGAAGAAATATCAATTTAGCTCTGAAAATGGTGAGTAATTTTCAATTAAATGTATTATTTTTTTATCATAAATACATTCATTTAAAATTAACGTATTTATTAATATTTACAAATTCGAATATATTTCTTAAAAGAAATAGTGATTTTTTAATGCTTATTCTGCAGAATTTGTACACTGGAAAGCAGGGCCGGCCCGCCCATATAGGCGAACTAGGCGATGCCCTAGGGCGCTTGAATTTGGGGGCGGCATGGCGAAAGTACATGCATAAATTACAATAAATAATGAAAAATTAAATGTTTTTTTTTTATCACAATCCTGTACTATGCTGTTTTATTACGTATTTGAATAAAAATTAGATACTCTATTTTACATTGGTGTTTTATATTGTTGCTAATATTTTTAAATGGGGCGACATCAAAGTCATTTGCCTAAGGTGCTGAGTTTGCTCGGGCCGGCACTGCTGGAAAGAAAAGTTGGTACAGTTAATTTGTATATGTTTTAGATAGTTTTGCTGAATTTCTTAAAAATGGCTAGATAAAGAAATGTTATAATCAGTGCCGTATCTAGGCAGGTGCAACAGGTGCACCCGCACAGGGCCCACTTGGAAGGGGGCCCAAAATGCAAGTATTTGTTTTATTATTTTCCCAAACCTAATTAATTAAGGGGCCTAAATGCAAATTCTTGCACAGGGCACAGGAATGGCTAGTTACGGCACTGGTTATAATTGTCATCGATCTTATGACTAGCAAGACTGGGAAAAATATGAGCTCCAAAATTTCGTGGAATTTTAAAACCAAATGTGAAACACTGAAACTACATTTATTGTTCAAACCTATTTTTTGTAAAATATAAATAGAACATTGTTTTTAAATAAACATTTATAGTATTTATTAAAATTAAAAATGAATATTGTAAATTATGTATATAATTTTACTTCATAATATATGTAAACTTTTGATTTTTTCAGTAAAGTATGTTATGAATTTCTACATACAGTACTTTATTAGTGTCAAATGACCGAAAAAGTCAGAATTCACTGCTATACACTAATTTCTTATCTCTAGTTTTTTAAATTTTATACTGTTTTTTTATTTTTCGTCCTCATTCCAGCTCACTGAAACAATGTTAAATTTTCTTAAATATAATGCTTTTTTAACTTTGCATTTCCTTTGCTTTTACACTTTTTCTATTGGTTGTCAGAAAAACAAAGTAATAGCCTTGATTTTAAAAGTTTTACGTAGTGAAATAACAAAATAACACGTAAAGAAAAGAAACATCCTTACTCCACCAAGTGTAAGAACAAACTACTGTAACTTTTGTGGCTACGTGCCATAATTGTATAGTTATAATTTATTTTTTATATCATATATATTTCCCTTTGTCTTCATTTCTATTGTCTTTCTTTCTGGAAGTTTCTCCCTACTTTTGTTTAACGGCATAACAGCAGGTGACCCCTTTAGTAACAGGGGGAAGGTGTGCGATCCTCAGGGCATAACGGGGTCCATGAGGTCATTCTTGGGTGTAGTACGAGAGAGGAAAGGATACGTGAGAAAGGCTCTCGAAGTTTTTTTTTGGAACTGAGTGGAGACGAGACGGACTTTTCGAGAAGAAAAGGAAACGAGGATAACGAAAACTGAGAAGGGTGTTTTCGTTCGTACTAGAGTGTAAAGCGAAATCGAAATTCCTTAGGAAAGTAATTTTCATTGGCCGTGGATCGAGAGGCTCACTCAACTTATGAAAATTCACCGTGAAAAACGCCGAATTTATTGGGTACCCGACTTTTTCTTTCTTCTCATCTTTACATTTCAACTTCTCTCTTGTCTTAGATCTATTTTTCGTTTTTAGTAAGTAATAATTAGTCTTAAGATATAATTGTATATGCTATAAGTATAATAATCATTCAACGAAGGAAGAATTGTCGCGTTATATAATTGATTCGTTGAATTTTTGTTACTAAAATTAAGTAATAAGTTAAGGGATAGAGCTTGTAGCTGGCATCCGATCTATATTCCTGTATTTTGTTCGCGAATTAAAGACTCTCATATCGTAAAAGTTGTGTTTCTTTGTCCACGGTATTTGCGATCCTCACACTTTATTTTATTTAAAGAAAAAAAAATGGATAGTTTTTACAGTATAAAGACGGTACGTTAAATAAAAATACAAAAAGACTATTAATAATAAAACCCTCAAAAGTTTTCACGGGAGAGAGATGAGTTCCGTCAGGCCAACACCCAGCTTTAACTTTGCATGTTGCATAAGCACGCGTACAGTACATTATATATTCCAACATTAAATCCTGTCAAATTAGTTAATACAATAGTAGTTTTACAAGCCGAATTTCATTAATTACTTATTGATTATGTTTGCTTTAAAATAACGTTTGGAATTTCGATCTAGAAGTTTTTCTAATAAGTAAACAAAATTAATTTTTTATTTAAAAATACTAATGCTAGAGATCTAAAACTTATCGAGCTTGTAAGATTTATCCATCCGTCATATTCTCAATAAAATGATTTATTAAACTGAAATAATTGTCATTTCTTAATGTAAACTCATAGGCCACGTGATGACAGTCGCCAGAACATTGCGGCGATGACTCGTGTGTCGCTACTCTGATAATCTACGTACTCTAGATTTATCTTTGCTGCAGCGACCCCTTGCAGCAAATGTTTAGAAACGGTTCGCTACATTATAGCGCTTCATTTAGGAACGCTTTGATGTGTAGCGATCAAGCAGCCTAGGTGGCAGCCTACCGCTCTGGGGGACCCGGAATCGAATCCGCACGGGTCGAAAAATCCTCAGGAAATTTTCGGGGATGGTCCATCCGGATATACCCCGTTCCTCACCACTCGATCGCCCCATCTTTCTTTCTTATCTTATTAATATGGAGACTCTAGCCTGTTGGCTTTTTCTCCGAATCACTCCGCTTAGAAATTAGGCAAAGCGGTTGGTGCTGTGAACAAAACGCTCCAAGATTTCGATATGTTGGCGAGGAGGTAGGTCAGTATGAGGCCAGTATATCGGATTTAAGGTACGGTCGCCCCATTGTGAGCCTGGCCGAACTCATAATGGCTTGCTGAAAGAGTGCCCACAGGGCGGAAAGAGTTAAAATAAAATACCATGTACAGTACTGAAATTAGCGAATGTGATTGAGATCACGTTATGCAATATCATCGCGCCCCCTAGTGAATAAATAATAAATTCAAGGAATATAATTTTCAGTAATTAATAGATCATATATTATACTTTAACACTTGCTAGCATGTGACATTAATTAATTATTTTTATGGTTATTTTAAAACTTAAATGTTTTATTTTATTTTTAAATCGAAAATACAATTAACTTTTTTCATTCGAGTTTATAGATAAGATTATTTTAAGTTAGCTTATAATTTATTTAAATGATAGAAAAATTAAAATATTTTAATAATTGACAGCATATTTTAATTCGAAATTTTTTTTTTTTTTTTGCCAAAAAATACGCTATGGCAGACGAGTATTAGTTTGTAAATTGTCCACCAGGATCGAAAGCATCTCTATTGTCGCCTTAGGCTAAGTGGAAAAGGGAGAGTTTAGTTAACGTTGCAATTTCTTTTTTGTCTTTTAATATTACGTTCGAGGAAATTATTTCCTCTCAAAATGTTAATTAGGTGATATATAATGACGTCATTAAAGACTATATTGAAAAACTTCCTCAATCATGTCGATAAATTGGAATCTCAGAAAAAATTAGGACAAGATCCATTTGAAGAGGAATTTCAGGTAAAAGAATTTCTGGAATGCCATGACTTTTAAAGCTCTTATGTCATCTGACATACCCATAATATATTAAATACCTTGTGTTAAACATATATGCATTTGTTTCTTTCATTCAGTTTATTATCTAAATAGATATGATTTTGACATTTAGAGTTTTCATCACCTGTATATGAATGATAACATTATACGCTCGTCACTGACATATTTGAATGTTGTAGTAGAATTGAAAATAAAAATAAGCATCAAACATCATATAAAATCTAATATTGTAAGTTATTTAATAATCTAAAGTGTTTAGCTTTTAAATAACTTTGTTAAGAAAACTCAAAATGTGTTCAAAGTATTAAAATATCATGTTAAGTAAAATTATATTATTTTGGATAAATTGTTATTAACATGATCTTTTTACAAGTTAATTCTTTAAATTTTTTACACAAGTTAATATGGTGTGTGTGCACATGTGTGTATATGCGTGTGTGTGTACTGTACAGTACATATATACATAGACACAAATAACTTATTCTGAAATATTTTAAAAATTATATTGCATGTAAAAATTTTATTTTTAGATTATACTCTACATAAACATTTTAAAATTAGATATAAATTAAGAAGTATTGTTAAAATGAGGATTTAAAAATTTTATCAAACAATATTAAACCATGTGTTCAGCTAAATACATCTTGAGGACAAATAAGTTGATATTAATGACATGAATATTTAAATATGACCTATAAAATCTATAGTAAATAGGTTTATATTGAAAAATAAAAACTTTTCATGAGTATAAGAACTTTTTTAAAAAAAGATTTTGTTCAGAATATAGTTTTGGTGCTATAATTCATAAAATTATTTTCTGTTTTTGAAGATCTTGTTTTCTTCATTACAAACTACATAGTTGTACTAGCTTACACATATAAATATCCTGAAGTCTAATGTTTTAGTAATATGCCAAATGATTGCTGAATTAAATAAGCTACTTTGAAGGAAAATTTCATTTTTATAATGTAAAGAACTATAATTAAAACTAATTTAATAAAGATGAACAATATAAATATGGCAGCTTTGATCAATGTATGCAATTATGATTAGGATAAGAATTTCTATATCATATATATTTAGAAATTTTAATGACAAATACAAAGAAATAATATAAATCTATTTTTCTCACTTTTAATTGAGGAATCAATCATTGGAGTTTATTGATAACCTGATTTACTTTAACACATGTTAAATATAAATTGATTATTTAACAAAAAAGTAAAAGATGAGCTTTCAATAAAAATCAAACTTTTAATTTTACATACCATGTATAAATAAATAATTTCATATATTCCACCATAATGTAAATTATGGATAAATAAAGAGTTGATATGATATTTTCATTTTGTTCAAATTTTCTGTTAATATAATTTATTAGTTTGAAAACATTTTATTTTCAATGTTTTTCAGTATTTTACTTTAATTTAAAATAAAAATCATAAACTTGTTGTTTTAGTTCCTTTTATGTGTTTTATACAGTTATTTTAACAATTTGTAGAAAATATAATTTAATTGAACAGTTCTGTTAAATATATGTAAATAGATTATTCATTTGTATGCGGTTTATTTAAATTAATTTTATTGTTATTATTAAGATTACTATCTTTTGTTTTTTTTAAAGGGATTAAAATAAAAAATTTTGATGCATGTGAACATTATGTAAAGATTATATAAACAAAGTTAATTGCTTTTCTGGCTGTTATATATAACAGAGAGAAAGGATGGTAATTGGTCATAAAAAAAGATCCCCAGGGTTTCTACATTTCCTCTCAGGACCTTGAACATCCAAGAAATGCAAAAAAAATATTTAGGGGTTTTTCTGTATATATGGATTTTAGTGTGGGTGGGTGGCACAATTTTGTTTATCCACTTTGAACTACCATGCCTTTTGTCAAAACTTTCTGAAATTTTCAAATAGAAATTTGTGTATTAGGAGGTTTGATGCTATTAAATTTTGGTGTTAAAGGTCAAAGGAGGGAGTCATGTTTCATATCTTGAGTAGGGTTGGACTCAATAAAAATTTTACTTAATATTAGCATTTATAATTTTTTATAAAACTCATCCCTACCCTCAAAATTAAATTTTGCCATTTTATAATAATTAATAATATAAAAAGTTTTTAAATAAAAATATCATAACAGGTGGTGCCACACCCAATTTTAAATGTATTTTTGCCAGGAAAGTTATGCAACTTGATGCTGGATTTTTTTAAAACCAGCTAATTATTTAATCTGACAAAAAGCTTTTTAAAGACATTTTCATAATTAGTTCTCTAAATATTCTATTTTTAATGTTGAGAAGTACATAGACAGTTTTGAATATCAATGCTACTTTTAAGTTCAAGATATTATCTTTATCAAATTAAATGTTTAGGACTGAATAATTCTATAAGATTGAATTAAATCATTTTTTAAATGTTAATAAGTCTTTAAAAAATGTGCTATATATTAAAATATATATATTTTTTAAACCTAAAGGATCTTTATATTTGTCCATTTTCAAAATTTAATGTAAACAATCTAATTTATTAAAGATAATATATAAGCCATTGATTTTGAAACTAGGGCAAGTGCATTTTGTGGAAAAAAGAGTTAAAGCTAATTTTTATTACAAATTAACATGAAATTTATGTTTTTAATCAATTCACAATAAATATCTTATAATATTAGTATAAATTTGTTACTAGTAATTTATATCGTCAACAATATTTATTGTGAGTTGATTTTGAAAGTGAGGCAAATTCACTCTAATGAAAAATATAAAGATATGATGGATTTATTATCCTTTGTACCACCCATTCATCATGAATACTTTAAAAATCTGCACCATCTGAACTAAGAAATATAATTATATGCATGCAACTTATTACTAAATATTTTTTCTTATTTTATCAACTTTTTCCTATAAAATTTATTTATTTTTTGTTTTATTATAACTATTCAAAAGAAGTATGGAATGCTGAAATAAAATAAATAAGTAAAATAAAATATTCAATTTTTCATTATTATAACTATATTCCATTCAAAGAAAATTATTGCTTTTGAAAGTGAGGCAAGTTTGGTGCATACCAAAACCATGGTTTTTTCACCTAACATGGATAACCATTATTGCATATTAAATTTACATGGAATAAGACCAGAAAAATATAGAATAAGCCTATTACTGCTTATGAATATTTTTAAACTCATTCAAATGCAAACCATTAAATATCTAGCAATAACATAACATGGAGTTGCCCCACTTTCAAAATCAACAGTTCATATATATTAGTATTTTTAACTAATATATATATTAGTACAGTATATATATATTAGTTAAAGTTTATTGATTATGAATACTGATTTATATATATAAAATTCTACTAAGTAAGTGGAGCTGAACTATAGCTTAGAATTTTTATGGTCAGCTCAGCTCATCTCAAGATATATTTTTAATCTTACGTTTATACAATCTATGGCCCACAACATTTTGCTTTTATTGCTTTTGCTTCTACCAGAGCTGTAACTAGGCAGGTGCAACAGGTGCACCTGCACAGGGTCCACTTGAAAGGGGGCTCAAAATGTTGTTCACAAGAAATTATATTTTTAAATTTAAAATTTTTCTGTCTTTCTACTGCATGGTTTGGCAATTACATTTTGCCTTACTTAGACCCTAGATGTCTACTCACCAGTGTTCCCAACTGTGGCAACTTTTAGAGAGACATAGTGATGTAGTGGCGACTGCAGACTAATCAGTCAAAGTAGCAAATTTTGAAATTTATTTTTATAGTTTTCAAATTTACAGATTTTTCTCTACTTTATAGTGCTCTCTGGCAACGATTAATATTATTACGATATACAAAAACTGTATTTCTAGATTTTTCTACAGTGTGCAGAGCTAGAAATCTGTAAAGGTAACATTTTGTAACAAAAATAAATCTGCCTGGGGATTTTTTTAAAATTGATAAGTTGAAAACATGGTAACTCCTGAATAAAATCTTAGTCCTGAGGTTGTAAATGGTGCAGAAATTCTGACATCATTTTTTTACTTTACAGTGGTACGCATATGTGGTGTATACCTCAGTGGCGGATTAAGCAGTAAGTGAACTATGTGGCCGCAAAGGGGCCCCCAAGGTCTTTAAAATGCTACTGAAAAAAGGGATTGCAAAAACAGAGAAGATAGAAATAGTCCAGAAAGACGCTTGAATATAGACATGGAAATAATAAATGATATAGCTTTATGGCTAACAATATTAACAGATGCTATTATTGATCATATTCTTAAAACAAACCAAAAAGTATTGGGAATATAGAGAATTTGAAATCAGTGTATAAAGACAGAGATTAAGTGACATTAACAACACAGTATTACAAAGGACATTCTTATGATTATTTTTGATCATGAGAAAGATTTATGATCATGAGAAAGAAATCAAATAAAATTATGGAAAAGAGAAATTGGCTGATATTTTCAGAAAGAAGCAAAAGTGTTTACTGCTACCCTTGCAAACTCTTTTTAATATCAAAGTCTAAATTAATAACTGGTTTATTGAGTAGCAACAAAGTAGCAACTTTTCAAAATATCTGTGGCAAAATCAGTGACTTTTATTTTAAAATGAAGCAACATTTATTTACGAATGTTTGGCAACATGCTGCTCACCAACACGAACATTTGAATAAATGGCAGGACTGACTGATATTTTCAACATGCCTATGTTAATTTGTCTAACTTAGGTCAGTGTAGTGATATTGGAACTCCTTGTCCTCCCTCAACTGTGATTTTGTTGGTCCAGATGCAATCTATTTGCATGCAGTTGTAAAGGTAACAAAAAAATGTAGACAAAGGGCCATAAAAAGGAAGGGAAAAAAGGTATTTGGGAAAGGAAGACAGAAGAGCAGGTAGATCAGGAGAGAGAGGAAGCAGTAGTGAAGTGGTGGAGTCCAAAAGCAAGATTAAAGATTAAAGTTTTTTTGTGTTACAAT